AGTATCATAGGACTCGTTGTAACATTATGTTTTCAATGTTTTCATCATTCGTATTATACATGTTTTTTTTTTTTAATGTTCTTGATTTTTAACAGGAAATGAATCGAAACTTAAATAAACGCTCACCAAATAATAATATTATAAAGCCTTGACGGTGCTAAATATTATTCAAACTTCTGTAGTCTATATTATATTATAATTCGTGACTATTTCACATTCTGTCTGCTTTGGATTGTAATACTAACTGTCGGAGACAGACAAACGGTTTTTATCGCATTTGTTTTTTTACGGTCTAAGTTTTCTCTGACACGTAAATCGACCGACCTACAGATTTTCGGTTCACTCAGACGTGCAGGATGCGCGTATTGCAAAGCTCCGTTTGACATTAACCATGTATGGACTTTTCGTAAACGCACTACTATTATGCAGATGAGGTGCTCTTATTTTTTTCCCCGGTAATCATAGCTCCTCGAAACCCTATTATTTTTATTTTTGAACAAAGAAAACTTTTTCACGGAAAAGACAATACAAAAATTCTTACCTACGGAAATGTGCACTAAAACGTGTTCAGTTTTTTATTGTCTCGTTTTTGATTATATATGTATATGTAAATATTGTCTCCGGTTATAATACATTACACAACAATTTACCGATAACTTTAAATTCTAAGGATAAAAATTCTGAAATTCTGAAAAAAATCATTAAATAAAAACCTCAAGATCGTCATGTCATCTCAAAATCATATTAGTGTCTTGTTGTCAAAATGTTTCTATGAGAATAATTTGTAATTTAATTCGATACACATTTGAGCTGTGAACTAAAGTTAATACTTCAGATACAAGTTGCCAGTCAAGAAAAATGCCAAAGCAATAATGTGTATAAGCTACGAATATATACCGTATAGAATAAACAATATTCGTAAAATAAACAATACAATGGACTGAACTCGTAATAACAAATTTAAAATCAACTTTGATAGTTGAAAATTCATCATCATCACAGATGGAAATTATGTAAGAGGAGAAACTATTAATATATTAATTAATATAAATATAATATATTATATTTATTACTAATATTCTTAGTCATGTACGACACATTAGAAATTTAATCAATAGCAATAATAATTGTTATTAAAAATTAAATACAATATTTTTTTTAGTCGTATAGGTATAAATATAATAAAATATTATAACGCTATCAAAACACATTAATATACAAATTACAATGTCTCTGTGTGTTTAGTGTAATTCTTTTTATGGTTACCTACCTATATGTATTAAATACAGCTAGTCTCTATATTGACATTAAAAAAAATTAAATTAAATTCTAATCAGCGTCCTGGGCTCGTTTTCCTTCTACTCACCGCTATTTATTCGGTCGTTAGCCAGACTAATCCGACCGGCAGACAATGCCATCAAACGACATTGGTTTTTTGAGTTAAAACCAAACTAGAACGAATTATAGTCGTAATGGTATTATTGTGGAATATAATATACACACACAGTCGTGGACCGATACTAGAGCGGTGCGGGTCGAATCCTCCCTGTCGAGGTGGGTGGGTCATCGGGCGTCACGGGGTGAAAACCAAACGAGGGCGTCCGGAACCAGCGTGCTTTTCAATTAATCCACCACCGGCGATCGTCTCTGATACGGTACCGGAGAACAGGATTAAAGGAAACACCCCAGACAGATTTACGTGCTCACACACTCACGTACCCACTCACACACATCTAAGAGTAATTGGAATGGCATTTGACTTTCTGCAGTGTGTGTTATTGGAGCGGCAATCTGCAATCAGTGTGATCACTGGTGGTTAGGGGTGTGTGTGTGTGTGTGTATAGGAATTCGAAAAAGGTAATTTAGTTTGTTTTTTTCACCGGTCTCGATCATTAAGCCGAAAAAATGTCCGTCTTATTCGCTCGTGTAGGTTCCTTCAGCACGGAACGAAATGACTCTTTCTTCGATAATATAATAATATAATATGCGATTCGCTAAGAGTAGGTTCTATAATTATTATAGTCTATAAATTTGACTTTTCATGACTTTGAGCGATTTAAAATAATATAAACCACGGTGCAGTATAATAACGATATTATCTAAAATCGTCGTACGGTCATTAATCCGTTAACGGCAAACTAAAATTAATCATTTAATCAAGACTGTCCTCCGTGTGCCATTTTCTAGTACCTACCTACCACCAACGCGTATCGTCTAACGCATCGCCGTTACTTGTGTATAAACACACACACACACACACACACACACACACACACACACACACACACACACACACACACACACACACACACACACATACACACACACAAGATCTACTAATCCCCGAAGAAGCTTCCGTGCGGCGTGTAGCTTTAGTGCAACAACGTGAACGGTCCCCGAAACCCGAGTGGATTTGTAATAAATCCCACCAAAGTCGGTTTCTTTAAAAACTTGGACGAAGAAACTGTGTTTATTTTTTTTTGTGACTCGTGGCTTCTGTAATCCTTGTATGACGATGGTGGCGGTGGATGCAGTCAGGAATATGAAAAAAAATAACCACCACTGACCTCTCAATTATAATATAATATTATTATGAATAGGCGTTATAGACGTATTTTTTTCTTGTCGATCATAATATTAATATAGTATGATACAACAAACATCGGAAACATCGAAGATTTTTGTTCAGTTCATTACAACGATTGCAAAACTTTTTTCCTCCATATATAAATACGACATCCGTCAAAGGGCCGGGTTTGGGGAGAATCATCTCAAAGCGAAAAGAAATTCCCGTTCTGACGAAGGTAAGGGAACGGTATTATTATTATGTTTTCACAAAACACCCGATGTATTTTGAAGTTCAGTGAGGTATTTTACTAATGTGTTTACCAATTTCAATACAAGCGGCACGTCAAGTAATATTTCAAAAACATGGTTGCTTACACCGCCATCGTGGTCTTACATTATAATATTATACCTGAGTTTAACATTGACGTAGAACTGAGGCAAAAAACTGTTACCATCCGTTATGATACCAGATAAAACAAAAAAAAATGTTCTTTAAGAAACGATTAAACGACCTTTTTTTCTATACATAAACATTCAAAACAAATCATTTTATTATACTATGTATGTAATATCTTAAAACATTTCTGATTATATGGGACTCGTTTATTAAACTTACGAAAATGCGCACAATATATGTGTCTTATTAATTATGAAAACATGTCGTTTAATTGTATACTCATAAAATAATATAATAATAAAATAATTCATAATATTATAGTATTTGGTTTTTAATATTATTATGATAAATTGTATGTTTGAACTTATTTTACTGTTAGTCCTTGACTCTTGTAGGTACTATAATATTGTAGAAGTAGGTACCAACGTGATATTTTGGTGACAAGTATGCCAAAGTGCATTATGAAACCACAAAACCATAAATGTTCACATAGTACACTTAACAATTTAAGTAAAGTCTAAAGTTCACATATCTAATATGATACAGGTACGAGTATTTTTAATTGTTGATATTAGGCTAGAGAAAAATAAAGATACAGCAACATCAGTGGTTAGATTGAGCTGTCAAATTGCGTTTCCGTGTTGAAGCAGTAGCACGAGTTAAAACAATGGTTGAGTGAAACAATAATAATATTATTATGTTTTGTTAGAAAAGAGATACATTTTTTCATTGTTATGGCAGATAGTTATTTTGTTTTCAAATTTTTACATTTTGTGTATGCAATAAAAATGTGATTGTTTTTTCCCCCCATAAATTATGTAGGATACCAATGTGTATAAAAAATACTATTCTAAAAAACACAGATCAAGTTCTTTTTTTTTTGTAACAAGAAAAAAAATTGTCTGCGGCCATTCAACGTGTCACAACCAGAATTATACGCTTTTTTAAAAACTGAAATATACTATGATTTCATAGTGGATAATAAAAACTTGTATAGATACTGAATCACTGTACCTAAATGTCTTAAAACAAATATGTAAAAAAGTATCATTTCATATTTTGGTCTAAATATAACACTCATAATACCGTTGCTATTAAATTATACATTTATGAAATAATTTAATCAAAAAAATCGTTTGAAGTAAATAAAAAAAAAATATTTATACTTCATGCCATCGATATTTTTTTCTCAAAATGCACTAAAAATCAAAAGCAAATTTAAATTTTGGTAAGTCAGTGAACGAAAAATCAAGGAAAATCCAAATTTAATTATGAGTAATCGTACGCGGAGTCTTGGCGAATATAAGTTCGGTGAAGTTCGTCTAAATCGCAGCTAGCAGTGTTGCCACTTCACAAAAACACGTGATTATAACACAGATGAAACGCATGGTGGTGTATATGGTTTATTCTTGGACGACTGTATGTAAATGTTTTATTAGTTTCCGTTTTGTTTTGTCTGCGTATAAGTCCCTTTTTGCAAAATATAACTTCAATAAACTATAAAGACACTACGATATATATATGTTATAATATTATTATGCCTGAAAATTAAAATAACATAATGATGCACAATTTTGTCTACCATCAACGTATCATTTAAATATTAGACAATTGTACTCAGATTATTATTGGAATGCAATTTTTAAAAGTTGATAGATACTTTGATTTTGTATTTACTATCTGTGATCTATTAAGTTTGGCTTTTTTTCGCCGATATTTTTTCCCATTCAGCCACAGTAACCATACGATACGGAGCTCGTCCATAAGCGGGTCCATTAATCTTACAACGTTTATCAACTATGAATATGACACGCGTTATGCCAATGAAACGTCGATTTGTAAGCCACAACGGTTCCGGAGTGGTTTTATCGGTTAAACAGAAAATTAGTGGCACATAACATTATCGTCACACCGCCTCCGTGCAGCTACGGAAATATCTGTTTTTATGTCTACGTGCTAAGTCATTACTGTGGCACGACCTAAGGGTGTTTTAAAAGGTATCTATCAGTCCTACGTGAAATTTAAATGGACGTACCTTAAGTCCAGCTGCTGCGTTTCCGTTCACGATGGCGGCGGCTGATGGACTAACCGAGTTCGGGTTGCCACCGTTGGAAAGCGTGGCCACTGCCGCTGCAGCTGCGGCCGCGGCTGCTGCTGCGGCTGCTGATCCGCCACCGGCAGGGGCAGACGGTTGAGCTGGGCACGCGATGTGATTGCCGTAGTTGGCGGGCATGGAAAACGGCACGAATAGCATCTGTTGGTGGGACAGCTGGTGCTGGTGTTGATTGGCAGCCAAAGCGGTGGCGACACGACAATGACAGAGTCCGTCCGCCAGTTGGGGCTGGTGGTGGTGGTGGTGGTGGTTCAGTGCCGTGCCTGTGGCCGGAAACGAAAGCTGTTGTTGCTGCGGGTACGGTAACGTCCTGAGGGCCAGTCTGCAGTTACCACGGAATCGTATAGGTCCGATCGACGGACGTATCGACTGGTGCTGATCCGCCGGAAACGCGTAACAAGTGCACTGCGACGGCGGCAGTGGCGCGTTAAGTGACTGTGGAGTCAGCTGAACCGTGAAGTTTTCGACGACTGCGGTGGTCGCGGCAACGGATACGCCGGTGTGGTTGAGGTGCTGTTGCTGCTGGTGGTGTTGGTGGTGGTGATCACTGATGTCGCACAAGTCGCAACCAGTGGTGGCGGCGGAGGTGGAGATCACGTGTTGCTCCTGTTGCTGTACACCGCGGTCTTGGTAACCGATCACCAAACGCCTCCTGCGATGAGCCTGCGCGGTATCGGTCGGTATGACGGCAGTCGTGATACCTGCACTGGTTGCACCGGCGAACGGATCCGACGACCCTTTCAACGTTGTTATGCCGTCCGTGGCTATAGACGACTAAGTCATGTCCCGCGAGCGAGTATGTGTGTGTGTCGGTGGGTTGTGTCGTTTCGGTGAGGGATAAGGATACACGCACAGACAGAGCGAGACAGAGAGATTTTGTGAGAGTGTGATTACCAGAAGGAGTGCAATGACAGACGGAGAGTGAGATAAATGTGAGATCGACGGTTGTAGAGAGATTATAGATTTAAAGGAGCATTAGCGAGTGGGAGTCGTCAGGCGGGCGAACGAACGAAACGGCGACCGGAATCGGAACGACAAACGATAGATAAATAAACGGAAAATAAAAAAAATCGTCCGCGGCGACACGCAGACACGTGGGGGCGTCGTATTTCGTTGATAACACACTGTCGGCGGCGGCGTACACTGAGCGCGAACCGTCGGCGGCGGCGGCGGCGGCGTCGTATGCGGCGGAGATTGCACAGCGTGTTTTCGCTTCGGTATAATGAGCAGGACTACTACCACCGCTCGCCGTCGGAACGGCGCAAAGGGGGTGTCGGTGGCTGCTGCCGATCAGACCCGTCAGAGAGCGCCTACGGACCCTCTTTTTTTTTTATCCCTCGCGAGCGTCAACGTGTAAGCGTGCGTGTGTTCGGCTCGCTCTCCCGCCGCAAATGTACCCGCGATGTCGTATGCCTGCCTTTATTGTTTACATACCTAGGTTTTCCTTAGGTTGTTACCGGCTGGTATATATGTGTAGCAGCTTTACGTAGGTGTGAGGCTATTACAAAAATAAAGTGATGGATCTAGACACGGAAATTGTCGAGAGGAGATCCAGTTTTTCATATTGTTTATTTTCACACCTAACGCTCAGTCGGTACTGTTATTACTTAATATTAGATAATATTATGATATTAATCGTAATTTTATACTCTTACACTATTTCTAAACAGACCCACGGGTACAATCGAACAACGTTGTCGTTATGCCCGACAAACGATTGTGTAAATTGTTGTAGTGCGAGATCAGATACACTCGGTTGTAAAAAAAAAATAGTATTTTTCAACACAAATAGTATAGTAAAAGAAAAAATCTTAAATCTGGTAGATGCGAATTTGTAGATCATAAAATAATGAAAAATGTCTGTGAATATTTCATTAAGTACCTTGCAATAGGATCATAACTTTACGGACGTTTAGGTATTATTTAATAGAAATCGGTACGTTAAATCTCAGTTACCTACTGTTGTAACTATAATACGATAATCATAATCATATTATTTTTTTTTCCGATTCAAATTTTAAAAGAAAAAAATCAAGTGATGATGTTTAAATATATGTTCTTATCGAAACTATTGATAGTTTTGCACATTGCGGTATAGTAGCCCCTAACAGTGTGCACACATCTCTACCACGTGTTCGATTTGCATGTCACGATGACCGAGATAACCAATATACTGTACATAAAAATATTCACCAGAACAGTTTGATTTCTATTTAGACAAAAAAAATATATCATTGCCGGAGTAATTATAATTATTTATAGAGGAGCTATACATAATATATTTTTGTTTTTTGTTTTATATTATGTACATCCACAGCAACAGTGACCATTCGTAAAAAAGTTGTTTACGTTTATACTTACTACAATACACTCACGGATGCATGTTGCATAACGAATTGATGGGGTACGCAAAATATGATTAATATAAGTTTGTACAGTCTTGTAATGACTAAGTTGTAAACAAGTAGTAGACTTTTTCCCTGAGGAGTTTTAAAAGGTTGTTTGCCATCAGTGGATCCGGTCCGAAAAACTCTGTGTTGTCATCAGAAAATTATAAGGTTTTTGGAGTTAAGTAAAAATGTGTTCATACCAGAAACTTTACATTTCCCATACTTAATGTATTAGTGAAAGCTAAGCTTTCTGTAACTCTGGTTATTAGTGGCAAGTGAATATTGTTATATTAGGAAATTTCTCAAATGTTTTTTTTTTTAAAGACATTAGGATCATAATTTTAATATTTTAAAGGCACCTACAATAAAAATACGTTTTTATTGTTTTATTATGATAAAAACACCTCGTACTCACTTCGTTTTTACAAAATCGGGGTCATCACTCGAGTTATCTTTATCGCAGAGAGAATCTAACTTCCGATCCTACAACCAATGCAATGGTTTTCGTATATTTTTATCCATTTGTATGTACGAAACAATAACAATAAAAACTACGACAAAACAAAAATAAAAATAACAGCAATAGTCGCGGCTCTTGGTTCTTCGTAAATAAATGACGTTGACCTTCGATAGAAAGCAAAAAATTCATAAAATCGTGTTGTTTGATTTTATTTATATAGGTAGTACACTTGTGGATTAAAGGTATTTATAGTTTCAAACCTAATATGTAAGAAACATACTATCCAGTTGGACCTAAATTGTTAGTTTAAAATGTTCACATTGCGATCTTTGGCAAATTAGAAATAATTATTGTAAATTATATAATTAAACAATGTAATACCTAGGTACTCAAAAACCCGTCAAGTTTATAGTATTAACGTAAATTTACATGACAAAAGTTCAATCAATGAATATTGTATTGATAAATATCAGCAAAGTTAATAATCCATGCGGATTTAAAATCAAAAAGGATTCGATCGTTCTAAAGATAAGGTAAGGTTTTTTTTCCAATATAATTATTTTGAAACTTCCCAACCATATTTTTGATGTTTTATAGTACATTACTTTTATATTCTGCATATGTCACAAATAATGCAAATGATGACATTATTTGCTGAACACTATATTATGATGTACTATTCAATAATATTATTACACTAATAAAAACTATGCTATAAAAAAAGGGTTTGTCTCCATTCAGCTCTATTTATTACACAGTTTAAATGAATTAGGTAGGTAATTAATTCCTTAACAGCTTAAAAAGTAAAATAGTAAACAGCAAAAACATAAAATATGCAAAATAGTAAAATGTTTAACTGTGAGAAATTCAGATTTGTTATATTTGGTCACAAAGCGTTATATATTTTTATATTTTATTTTCCAAATTGAGCAATGATCATATGATATATCAATTGAATATCAATTGATACAATAAATCTTAGATTTGGAACATTTCAAATTCCGAAATCAACCTTATTTTGTTAACTACCGTCGTTTTAAAAGAAGATTTGAAATTTAACATTTGGCAAAAAGTTAGAAATTACTCTATTTAGTTATAATGGGCAAAAAGAGATAAGTTATATCTGTGTATAATATTCATTGTGCCATCAAAACTTTAAAACTTTCAATGGTTATAGTTCTGGAACCGTTAGATCAGTACTAGAATTTTAGACAGCAATAAAATGTTTAAAAATGTACTTTTGAACTCAATCAAAAATGATTATCGTTGTTCAAAATTGTAAGTTTATAAAAATAATTTTTTAAAATACAAGCGTTTTCGTTAATCTTAAGCCAACTAAACAATGAAAAAAACGTTCAAACTAAAGCCATTAGAATATTATTAAGTTTCTAAAACACAAACGCTTATTTGAACCATACAGAGTATAGATTCATAGACACACAAATAATATTTGACTGATATTTATTGAATTGATTACACCTACCTACTTTTATCTTTAAAAATGAAATGGAATTTTTTTTAAATTTAAAATTTGAAACATTTTTATTTTAAAACAATATATTAGATTACAAGTAATTATTGTCTAAAATAACTATTTGTAATATTATCAGCACATATCATTGGGTCAACCTATACTGTTAACTTTCTGATACCCAAAAATAAGTTGTTATGCTTACCTATTACATTAAGAGTTTTTTTTTACTTTCTGCACTAGTGGATACAATTAAAATTATTTTGTTGAAAAAAAAAAATTTAATGATAAACTTACAACAATAGAAAATTGTACACATATTCGCCGTCTGCCGTTGACATGGTAAAGCAAATAATAGATAATATGGATATTATTTGTGCTCGTAATTCATATTGATAATATGTATTTTTGAATTTTCTAAAATATATTTTGGCATGAACTTTTTTTGTGGCAACACTCCAACCTTAGTCTTACTGAGTTTTTTTCAAAAATATTTATCGTTATAAAAGTAATTCACTCCATCCGTGAAACTTAATCATATAATATCTAAACATTCTAAACTATGTTTTAATAATAAAATGCTCAAATGATAATATTTTTAAATACAATGAACTCCATGGTTTTCAAAAACCTAAATGAAAAATGTATCAATAATAATGTATTTCAACAACTAAATTTTATCTCACCAAGGAATATTGAAATGATATGTTTATTCAAACAATTTTATCATACATATTATATTGTGAGACATCATACTCTGTCGTACCTAAGAATGATTTTTTTTTTCTAGTATCGTCTATGTTATTGATCGCAATGATGTCTTTAAAAAATATAAGTATCCATCTTTAAGTATGAGTACATTTAAAACATGTAAAAACATATTTTAGATGCAAGTTATGCACGTTTATTTATATTATTTGTAAATATAAATTGAAATTATTATTTTAAATGAAAAACCAACCACTCAAGGATCCGTGGTACACTAAACGCCATAATTATATTGCTTTTGCAGCCTGTGAGGCAAATTCTGAATCTTAGAGCACCGGTGTTAATTTATTTTGCCACCCCACTCATTACAAATGTCAATTTTTGACAGTAAAAGCTTAATTTGTTCTAGTTAGATGCAAATTTTTTATTTTTAAACATATTTTACATTATTAATAATTGCTCCTTTTTGAAAAAAGCAGCCATGTGTAAATATAAAGTAATACATTACAGTTACAAATTATAATTTTATAATTTTTATAAACAAATAAATTTAAAATTTAAAAATTAATAAACTTAAATTTAAAATTCAACAATAATAATACTATGCGAAATTAATTCAGAATATGTTTTATTTGAATTCGGCAGCACATAACTTATAACTGCTAATTCGTTTTTTAGGTCCATTTTTTACCCATTTTACCGAACTCTTGAAAAACAACAGGTTTCGTAAATATAAATCA